CGGAGCCCGACACACAAAGGCGACGGCGGCGGCAGCGGAGGGGCCCTAGAGGCTGCTCCGCCTGCGCTCTCCGGGCCCACGTCCCTCGCGCCGGCCACGGGCCCGGCCGCCCACCCGCGGGCCTAAGATGGCGGCGGCGACAGCGAAGGGGCAAACGGCAGTCCCGAGCGGAAAGCGCCGGAGGGACCGCCGCCCTGCGGCATCGGATCCTTGGACTCCGGCGCGGCTCGCAGCGGGACCATGGCTTCCTGAGACGCTTACCTGCGCGGAGCGGACTCGAGGGGACGCGACTACACGTTCTGCTCGACCGCCCGTTTTGCCGCCTCCGCCTCGCCCTCCCCAGCGCCGCTGCCGCCATTTTGTGTCCCGGCCCGGGACTCCGCGCTGCGCATGCGCTGGGACCGCCTCTGAGGGGCCTCGCCACGGCCGCGCCGCCATCTTGAGTGTGGCAAGCCGCGGCCGGCGCCCCCGACCCCGGGGGCTTTCGGCCCCGGCCCCTTCCTCCCATCCTCGCCCGCAACTTCCCGCGGCTCTGAAAAGTGGGGGGACGGCCTTGCGGGCCCCGCGGTCCGGGCTGAAGCGGGGAGGCACGCTCCGCGCCTCAGTTTCCCCCGCCAGCACTTCCCGAGGGTACAGCAGGCTTGGGTGGGCGGCGCGCCGCCCGAGTCGGACTGAGCGTGCGCACCAGGGGGCGCGGCTTGGGCGCCGGCCTGGGGACGGGAGCCTCGTGACGTCATCGCGGCGCGCCGGGTGACGTCACCCGGGCGGCGCGGCCCCGTCCGCTGTGGCTCCGCCACTTCCGGGAGGTTGCGTCCCGCCTACGCTTCGCCTTCCCCTCCCCCCACGTCTATTAGTCTGCATACAGGATTCGTATCATTCACGTACATTGCGTCTCACACATTCCTACGAGCACGTTGTGTTTCAGAGGCTCATCCACACGGCGATTTATCCCAAGGATGCTTTTGCAGCCGTTTAGTCCCCAATTTCTCCGTGCAAATTATAATCGTCTTTTGGGTAAAAGGCTTAAATCCTGCATGGAGATTCCGTAACAAGGGACTTGGGTCTAGTTAAGTTCTAAACCAGACACGTTAAGACGGCCAAAGGGGTTGGTTCGGTGGCAGCCTGACAGTTGCTAGGTGCCCCAATCCTCGCTCTTAGGACAGGTGGTCAGTCGGCATAGCAGCCCCACCTCCCCGGGGACTCCCCAATAAGCACGCCATCCGCCGGCGGTTTGGGAGGAGGACAAGCTTGCCCCCTGCTGTTTGCAGGCTGCATTTGCTGCGAAGAAGCAAGGGCTGCAGATGTCCCTGGAAAGGCTGGACAAGGTCCAAGCGCCCGGTCCCATGCAGAAGGGGAGGGAAAGAGTGGTCGGTAAACATGGGGACAGTGATAACCTTCTAAGCACGAGTGTTCATGAGTCTGCGTGCAAGTCTGTGCTCGCCCACCCAAAAGTGACCTTGAACTCTGCTGAAGTTATAACAGTACAACTGACTCAGCTGACCTTCCAGGTTTTGGGGATGCTATAAATTGCACAGGAGATTGCCTGTCTTTCTCCCTCGGAGTGGTTTGAACTGCTGGAGAGGCTGTACTTCGAGTTAGCATGACTCCCTACATCTATGCCACCACAGCTGCCTTCTTGTTCCTATTAAGCTTGCATTTCAGTTACGAAGCTTGAGGGGAAAACTGGGGCGTTACATAATCTTCCTCAGGGAACCACATGTCCTGCATTTAATTTCTGCCTTTTGCCTCGGCATAATTAATATTGCAGCCTTTGTCAAAAGTGCCCTCGTTTGCACAGTAATTACATGGTCCCCCTCCTTAGCCATACAGAATGTCATTTTACAAGCTCTCCAACTAAGTCTTCCCCAAAACCAAACCCACTGCCATCAAGTCAATTCTGACCCATGATGATGTTGTCAGGTTTATACTTGAGTCCCTCTTTATATTTCAGGCAAAAATTTACAAAGCAAATCTATTCAACCATTCATACACAATTTCTTTAATAATTACAGTATGTATCGGATGTGGTGAGATAGGCACAGGATAGGGCAGATAGGGCTGTTGTGCATAGGGTCGCTATGAGTCGCAGGCGACTCGTCGACACAACTACAACAACTTTACCCAGTTTCTGTGATTATTCTACTATTCCTTCTACCTTTTTTAGGGTGGCCTAGTGGCAGGAAGCTGCAGTGCAATCCTGAAGACATCATGGTTTGAGTCCACCAGCCGCTACACAACAACCCTTGAACAGGTTTGACCTTTATATATTTGGTATTTTTTTTTCTTTTTTTTTAATTTTATTATTTTGTGTGTCTGTGTACCATCAAATCAGATCTGACTGGTACAGGAGGAGATTGTCCCTCCTTTCCCGGCAGAGCATCTGGTGGACTCGAACCATGCACCTCTGGGATTGCAGTGCAGCTTCTTGCCACTAGGCCACCAGAGCTCCCCAATATTTGGTAATTTTAAGGAGAGCTTGCCTCCCTGACGATATTGTACCATAGAGTCAGAGCTTGCCTCCCTGATGATCTTGTTGTTGTCTACCGTTGGGACATACCCATAGCTGACCCTCCAGCGGATTTTCAGAGACAGTTAATTGCACGGGAGGAGATTGCCCATCCTTTTGCAGAGTGGCTGGTGGCCTCAAACCGCATGTCTTTGGGATTGCAGTGCAGCTTCTTGCCACTAGGCTACCAGAGCTCCCTCCCTGATAGGATCCTTTATAGGTCTCTCATTTGTCTGAAAGCTAACTCCTAGGGATGAGTTTTATCCAGGCTCAAAGGGCAATTAAAGACTGTAATCGCAGGGGCTCCACCAGTTCCTATCAGACCTGGCCTTTAAAATTTATTAAGTTTCCCCCCCCCCACGTTTCCCCAACTCTATCCAGGACCTTCCACTAATCCTTTTCAGAGTGGCCATCAGTGGTAACCAGGCATCATCTGGTTCTGGCTTCAGAGTTGTGGAAGGTGAAGTTCTGATGGTCCATTAGTCCAGTTATTTCAGTTTATCTTTTCCCTTCCCCTCATTCTTTGTTCTGGGCAGGGAGAGACCAAGATTGCTGTTTGCAAGCCTTTTCGACCTCAGTTACTACTCACCATAGTAGGATATATATAGTATATTGTCTGTGTTGACCTTGATGTCCCCTGAGACAATGGTCCCTAGGCCCCAGGACTAGCAACTTGTTCCCCTCAGGGTATTGGGTTATGATTAAGAAATTGGCTTAGCTTTGCCCCTGCTGGATCTGCTATAGACATATTTACAGCCTACACTAATGTGAATGTAGAAATATCACCTGTCATGAGTACACTCCATTTTCACCTGTCACTTTGTGTTTCTTTATCTGCCTACATAGATATCTACTTGTAGATCAGACTTTATTGCTGGTACTCTGTTTGCTTTTGTTAACTGTATGACTTTATTGTGTACCGACTTCCCTGTCCTCAGTGGAATTGTGCTGATAAGCCCTTTACTGTAGATTTATAGTGATGTAAGTCCTAACAGAAACAGACTGCCTCAGCTTTGTTCCTTGGAGTAACTCGTGATTTGAACCTTCTGGTTAAGATGCCAACACACCATACACCACACTACTAGGGCTTCTTCCAGTGCTCTGTTAAAACTATGTCATCAATACCTGTTCTTGCTTTTGTTTTCAGAGCACTTTCCTGTCCATTGTTCATAATCTCTTCACAATAACCAGGCACCTCGGCAGTTTATCAGTGTAATCCTTATGAGTAGCTCTTATCTCAGATCTGTGGTCAGAGGCCATTGGGTCAAGGATGATCCATTAGTGACCCTATGAACAACAGATCTGGACCCTGTCTTATCCTGTGCCATTATCATTTCTGACAACATACCGAGCCCATTGCAGCAGTCAGTCACTGTGTCCTTCTGTCTAGTGAAGGGTCTTCCTCTCCTTCACCATCCCTCTACCTTTCTAATCATACTTTCCCTCTCCACGAGGCTATTCCTTGGAGAGGGACATCATTTCAGTTCTACGCATAATGAAAGGAGCCCCAGTGGCACAACACTAACCAAAAAGCCAACAGTTTGATCCTAACAGTCACTCCAAAGGAGAAAAGACCTGGTCATTTGTGCCCATAAAGATTACAGCCTATGAAACCCCTTGAGCAATTCTGTCTTCAGAGTCACTGTGAAGGAATCTGAACAACTCAAACAGCACCTAACACTCAAGGAATTTGCGACAGAGGGAACAGAGGTAGGGATGAAATGATTGTCCAGGTGTATACATAGCCATGAACTAACAGAATGAGAATTTTAATCCTAAAGTTCCCAGTGTCAAAACTCGTTCGTTTCCTACAACTGTGTTACTTTTCTTCATTTTACTCAGAATGTTAAAAATTCTGAAACTGTTGCCCATTTCACTCTCCACATATAGTCAAAATCAAATACTCCATCTTTATTTTCACCAACTCTGATCAAGTGCTATTATTTTTATTTTTTGTTAAGAATAACACGCACCAAGCACACAAAATAAATGTTAAGAATAAATGTAACCATGAGACAAATCTAAAAGGAGTGTGAATCACAATGAGAATACTTCCTGGGTCAAAATATTGACGCAAATGTAATCCAATCACTGCTCCAGCCATTTTTATAATGATAAAACTTTATTATTAAAAACGTCCTTGTTTTTCTTATAGTCTTACTGCCTAAATTTGGATCCCAAACACCAAAGTTTTGTCTATGCCTTGAACTTAATCTAAATGGAATTATATAATATTTATGTCTGGCATTGTGTGCTCAACATTATGCTTGGGAGATTTCATCCAAGTTCTCTCATGTCGCTTCTTGGTTTCCTTCCATTGCCATATTCTTTCTTCCACTGTCTGTTGTTCTGTTGTTAGGATATATGTGTTACTATTATGTGCTGACTCATAGCTGATCCTCCAGCAGATTTTCAGACACTTACAAATTACACCGGAGGAGATTGCCCACTGTTCTTCCTGGAGCAGCTGGTGGATTCGAACGGCATGCCTTAGAGTTGGCAGTGCAACTCTTACCACTAAGCCCCAGAGCTCCCTTATATGTTCTAATGTGCCATCAAGGAGAGTCTGACGCTCAGTTACCTTATGAATAAGAGACCTGAATTCTGGCCCATCCTCTGCCTTCCTTATCGCTGACATCCTTGAGCCCATTACTGCAGTCACTATGTCAATTCATCTCATCGAGAGTCTTCCTCTTTTTTCACTGACCTCTACCTTTCTAAGAATGATGTCCTTTCTAAGAAATAGCCTTTCTGAGCAACATGCCCAAAGTATGTGAAACAAAGTTTACATCCTTGCCTCTAAGGTGCACTCTGGATGTACCTTCCCCAAGACTTCTTTTTGGTTCTTTCAGAAGTCCATGGCCTATTCAGTACTCTTTCCA